GGAACTAAATGAGGACTGTGTTGTACCAATGTATTTGTTTTATAAATAGCCCGGACAAAGTGTTTATCGAATGATGTTGATAAAGCATTTATTATGAATGGATGGGTATATTTGCTTTTTTGTGTGTGTAGTTTATCAGATCTTATCACAATTTGTAATTTTAGCGTCAGCATAAAAAGTTAATTTTATATTTTGTTTACTTGCGTATGTTTAAATATTACTTTACACTTTAACAAACATTAGACGCCTAAATACTACTAAATGATACTTTTTTTTTAAAGACATCTCCCATCTGTGTCGTGGGGGACTTTACAAACATATTGATTTGGTCTGGGTGTTTCTATGTATAATATGTATGTATTTACAAAAAAAAAGTATATATGTATTTATATCAGTTGTCTTGTACCCATAGTACAAGCTCTGTTTAGTTTGGGACTAGATGGCGTTGTGTGAATGTAAAAAAAAAAAAAAAAAATATATATATATGAAACGGACATAAAGAACACCCAAACTCTGAAGTACAATTTGTGGATCACACAAAGTGTCGTCCTATGTGCGGATCGGACCCACAACACTCGGTGTAGTATTAAGCGTCGTGGCGACCGCTTAAACCGCTTAAATTAAGATAACAATTTGATATATTATTGTTTCATTCAAATGCAAATTAAAATGTAACCTAACCTAGCATGATTATCTTTATTGTTAAACTGAGTTAAAACTGTTGAATTCTGAAAAGCGCTGCCTTAGTGGGTTCGATTCCCGGACTGAATAAAATTTGATAGGGTTCTTCTGATAGAAAAAATAACCCAGTTACTCCTTTTATAGAAAGCTAGCTGGAGGTAAAATATTATTAAAATTGACCAACCGATTTAAAGATTACCCGGAACAAACAGTCAGGCTGGCAGACATACAGACATAAAATATTGCAACTGGTTTTTAGGAATAGATATCGTGTAAATAACCGTGTGAGTATGAAAAAGAGCTATTATTTTGACATTATAAACAGAAACTTATTTTTTTTATTGTATAGATGTTCATGGGGAACATAAGAATATAACCATATAGAATAACCAAAACATATATTTTTAATTATACTACGAAATTGAGAAAGAGGAAATAAGAAAAAGATGAAATGAGAAAGATATTAAAACAGTGCCTGATTATCTCTAATGACAAAGTTTATTGCCTAATGATATATTGAATGGTTTGCAGTTTTCTTCTCAGTGATTCAACTATCCAATAAAATTGAGTTTTATGATTTCATACCAGCATTTACGTTAAAGTGGGTAGGAGTAAATTATATTTAGGAAAACAAATCAAGTTGTAATATAGGAATATAAATAGGAAGCAACGAAAACAAAGAAATATAAACTAGTAGTTAAAATTTACTTTTAATTAAAAAGAAGTAAAAAAAAGAAGTAATTAAAAAGAAGTAAAAAGAGCAAGTCTCGCAATGCAGTTCTTCTACTACAAAAAGTTGTAAAATGTAATTGAACTTATAAGCTAACAACATTTTTTAAAGTGGCTGTAGTAACAATATACATGCATCTTAATTTCTTTATGATGAATTTCGTGTTACATGAAAACTTTGTTAGTTAACATATAAGATTTCACAACCTTTCGCTTCAAATAAATTACATTGAGAGCTTTGAGTTTTTATTCTATATTAAGTTATCTTTTAATAAGCTGTCATCGCTGATTTTTATATGTAGTTATAGTAAAGGAAATATCGTAATCCTGTGATATTCTACCTACAAATATCTCTTACGTTGTGTCGTGTAAATAACGAAAAATTGTTTAAACAGCAACGGTAATTGTGTAATGCTGCATTATTTTTGCTCAACTTGGTGGGGCTTACAGCCGTTCTTCCATATATTTATACCAAGACGTTATTGAACAATGTAGAACAATTGTTTATAGCTCCCTACAAACGAATGTCCGTGATGAACGCAAAACAAACGGAAAATAACTGTGCGCTCATATTGCTAATTCTTTCTATCCCATTTAACACGTTTCTGTTGTGGACGCATATTGTCTTTATTTCTGCTGGCTTCTACAACTGTGGATATTTCTATTATCTCTTTAGTATTCTATTTCGATTAAGGAAACGATGCTGAATTTTGTTTTTTTGTAAGTGAATAACAAATAATCTAAATGCTAAAAACCGTGTTAGAACATTGTGGACGAGGAGTTTAAATTAGAAAAAAAAACAGAAAATATACCTACAGCTTTCTAATAAAAAATAGAGGCATGGGTTTAAACTACGCAAAAACTAGGCGCAATTATTCAGTCGTAACGTCCACAAAGGTAAGGTAAGTCACGGGATGTTAGTTCTTTGTATCAAAGAAGCTTTGGAAGGATTCTGAAATAAGAAAGAGGAGCTAATCCCTTCTAATATAACAGAAGATTATTAACAGTAACCGGCCGCAACAAACTGCTGTCTTGACCTTGAATGTTCAAAGATGTCTAATAATAGTGTTGTGCCTCGATAGATAATGTAAAAGTATTTTGTAATATATTCGCAAATATATCGATAAAATTAGGTACTCAAGAGTTTCAAATAAAGATATACGTAAAATTAGGGATAAATTATGTATTTAGAATAACATGTAAATTAGACGGAATGCCAAGGTTTGCCGATTAAATTTACGTCTGTTACGTTGCTAATTGTAGGTGTTGCCGTTTTGAGCGTTTTATTTTGTGTGTTTATCATGAATTTGAATGACTGGTGAATGATCAAAATTTATTTCACTGAAGTCATTGTAGAACGTAATACATTTTACAGAGTACAGGACTTATTATGTTTTGCTGCTTATTATGCTTTTAAAATCCAACACACAAATAGCAAAATTGTTATGAGAAACAAATCGGAATTTCACCCCGAACGGAAACTACTTTCGTTCCTAGTAATATTGTCAGTCCGACAACATGTAAGAACTCATTCCTATGACCGTTTTCACTACTAACTAGGTGAAAATGCATATATTTGGCACTTGTCACAAATATAAAAATATATTTTCTTGCAAATACAACTCGAGTCACAAGTACTTTGCTGTTCTTTGAGTTCCAGTGTGAGTTCCACTCCAGAATCCGCTGGAGAGGATGTTCAAGCTCCGGTAACCAAACTCACTATCTAATAGTTTATGTAAATTCGTAAACATACGTAACCACATCCGCAGGATAATGCGGCTTGGTTTTGCTATTAGTAGCATAGTAGAAAAACCACAGATACAATTTAATTATTCTTTTAATGTATATATGAAAACCTACAGACGATATAAAACTATGCATAAGCGGTTTACATGTCTATCATACGATCTAATTTACGAATATGTTTAGTACGTATTATTATAGTACATTAAAAACATGACTTAAAAGTATATTAAACTGACTAAAATTTTAAGAAGTCTTTCTTGAATGACGCATTACTATTGACTTGTTCGACCTACGATGCTATAATTGAAAAAAATAAAAAAAGAGAATTATTATGTGGCCATATTTTTTGCATTTATCTTTCATAATTCAAAATGATACAAAAAAAAATTGCTTCAATCAAACGCAGACTTTATTTTGGGTTTGCCTGCTAAGACACACTTAAATGCAATCATAGAGTTTGAAACTCTACATAATAATATAGTAGCAAGCATATAAAGATGACATCTGAAATAGTGACCGTTAGAAATAAATAAAATTCTACCCCATACTTTTATCAATGTTTGGAACAATAAATTAATAACATATTTTCTCTCTTAATTCGCCATTTCAATTATACTCGTACTGGTCGTCTTTAACTTCAGATTTTAAAAAAACACACAGAGCTCTGATTATAATAGTTTGCATGGAACTTACCAAGTAATCAATTCTAAGTATCAAATGGACCTGATCTAATATATTCTGAACGGATTTTCCTCTCTAAGGAATTCTGTGCATTGAATATTAATTAGAGTTGAAAAGATGAAATTTTTTACTAAAGCTAAAGTGCTTTTACGACCCAATTTAGTGCTGAAAGTGTAGGAAAGGTTGAGTTTCCACAGCACGTTCTAGCTGATCCGACATTTAACGGAAACATCTAATAACCTCAATTTTTTTATTCAAAGGAATAAAGTAAAATGCTTCGTGTCCAAAAAAAAGTACTTTATAAGATCTACCTACATTGTTAGTAAGTTTTTTTTTACACAGTTTTTTTTTGTAATCGATTGAGACAAATGTGACTCTATGTGATGAATGCCTCGCTACACGACTCAAAGCTATAATTCGTTATGTATATTAATTAGATGCTGTACGTTTCTCCGTGGCTTATTGTGGTTGTATTGATGACTGTGTCTGTGACTCCTGAGCTTTCAGGCTTTCATGGGTGGCGGTCGTCACTTTCCATCAGGTGACACGTCTGCTCATTTGTCCTGTCTTCCAAAAAAAAAGATAAAAAGAATCTGTGAAGCGGTATGTGTTTCTATTCAAAATTTGAGCTCAATCAGAACAGCCAACCAACTTAACATTTTTACATTTTATTGATTATTTTTTAATCAACAATATTCTGTCACGTGCAAAGCGATGTTATTTACAAAAGAAAACCAAGTAAATGTTATACATTCTAGAAAGGGGCCGTCACTATTCCCGCAGCTTGTAAAACAAAATGGGAACACTTTGACGTAAAAGTCGAACTAATAACATGTTAGTACTTAACCAGAGCTGCCTTAGAATTCTCTGTAGTCATAATCACCGTACATAATAGCTGCACGTAAGTTTATTATTGGACATAGTTCCCTTAGAAACTAAAAAAGCAGCAAAAAGGGTAACTTGTATACATATAGAAGTATTTTTAGTAACCTCATACATCTGGTACTAAATATGAAAGTGCGTCATCTAATGTGAAACTGTAAATTTTTACATTGTTTCTTATAAAAACATCACCAATAAGCCGAAGAGGCGGCTTCTGTTATAAAGAATCTCGTGTTTGTCGGTTCAATAACGACTAATTACTAAAAGTTCCGCTATTGTAGCTAGATTAATTGATAAAGTGAGAAATTGTCTTGTATCAAAGATTCGTTTGATGTAACCGCAAACTCACCAATGACATAGGAGTATCCATCAAGTGTGAGAACACATTTTCTAGTTGCCCCTGAAGCAGAACGATGTCTGTGCGTTCTAGGAGCAGCTCCAAGAGCCCTTCCGCCACCAGGATCACTATGACATTTGTGTACTAGTTCTTTGTCATTGTTAACGTTGGGTTTGCCGTCGACAGAGCCCTGTCTACTGCTTTCCAGCAGCACTTTGCCACGCCGCATCATCACATCATACGCTATCTCCACTGAACACTCAAACCGTCACAAACACTTCGTCACTGTTTCACGTCACTCTAGTTCACTTAACTCCATCGATCACTCAAAAATTCGGATATGTTTGTTTAACACAGTGTTATGATATGGTACAGAAATCACGTAAATTAGAAAAATGCTTTAGACGTATTCATTGCGCCAGCAGCTCAAAACTAATAAATTGTTAATTATTACACAAACTGTAATCTTTATTATTGACGTTATTTATTCGGATATGGCAACTTTAAGTTTCTGAATATTACAACGACTGTTTTTTTTAAGTCCAACTTTTTTTATCTATAGTTTTTAATACGTATAAGTCATGCGTGTGAATGAAATTTTACCCAGAATTAAAAATATAAACATCAAATATAGGGAAATGCGAAGTTAGGCAGATGGGATTACGTACTTATTTAACAAATAACTAGAAAATTTCTTAATTTTTTTGAAGCTGTTATTATGAAAACAAACTCTGAATAAGTTGCCCTAGTAAATGGTGTTTTTTGTGGGAACTTTTCCGCTGTTTTTGACATTAAGGTTTACTAGCATTCTGTAAGTAATTATCAACATGATGTTGATCCAACCTTGAACTTGTGGATGTTCTTATTGAACAAATGACTTCATTTCTATCAATTGTAATATAGAGGATACTCGAACAGTTCCTTGTTTATAAAAGGAATCATTGTTTCATCAATTAGATACGAGTTTATTGACTACAAATTAACAAAGTATACACGAGTAGTCGTATGGAAAAATACGTTGTATGTATTCTGTGTTGCTTAAAATTTCATAGCAATGTGAAGGGAATGGTACTTCTAAACAGACCGTAATTTACCCGACATCGTTGAAACCGTCTAATTAATGTTTGGTTCAGCGCAGGTGGAAACACGGAAATCTATTTTGAAGCAACGACTGTTGTTTTTCCGCCATAGTAACGCAACACAGGGCGCCCATAAAACGTTGCGTCATGGCCTATGATCGGGGGTGGCCCCCCTCTTGTAAACAGATTGTGATGTTGTCCACTAGACTTAGCCAAATCGCGACCAACAGGTGGTATTTTTTTTAATTTCGGAAACTTACGAAATTCGACCTTGCAATTTTTTTGATATTTATTTTTTATTTTTGTATTCAATGTGTTGATGCCGCGCCGGTCCGTTAGAAGTGTTCGTACATTATCGGACGGAGCGTTCGGATAGCGGTTAGCGGCATGACGCAGCGCTACCGAACCGCGTGGAAGCCTGCGCGCGACTGTCGTTCGCTCCACATGATCCGCCACAGGTAGCCCCCATTAGTACGTAGCACACAAACTTACAATTCCAAATCCCCGGGACATTGGGCGCTGAGTATAGAGCAATTTGCTTTATTTAATTTTTCTATAAATACTTTAGCTCTCGTGAACATTTATTATCAAAGGGCTGTATTAAGATTTTATTACGAACGATTTTTATCTGTTTTATTTTGCGGAAAACTATTAATAATTCCCTGGTAGTCATTTCAGTACTTAAGAGTTGTTGTGATGGCAGTTTGTTTAATATAGTACCTTCATTAAGGTTATTAAAATAAACCTAAATGAATTTTGTTTTGTAATCTAAAGGAAATTGTTTCATTAGCCATTTTCACCGTAGCAAAAGGTAACTTAATGTATCCTAATTAATTTTGAAAGATAATATTGTGTTATTAAGGTCTTCTAGCGTCCTTGGAAATGAAAGATCCGGATTCGGAAAAGGACCGAGTACCTACTATCTACAGCGCGAACTAACACAATTATGTCTAGCAGTTTACTAAAATAAGCTCCAATTTGTAAATATTTGCTTATTTGCTAATACGCTTACATTTATTAATTATGCATTTATTTTATCTTTTTTTGAAGTTTGTTAATATAAATGTCTGATCCGATTTAACAAACAAATTAAAAAAAATCTATTTAAAATACCGTCAATTTATTGGTAAAATTTTATATTGAATTTAATTGCGATTTATAACGATTAAAATTTGATTGCACTTTATAATTAGATAACTTAGATTAACCTTAATGAATTTCAAATTGTAATGAAACCTATCACTATTAACTTTTCAACTTCTGACTTAGGAAAAGTGATTGCTTTCATCATACTTAATAATTTGTTCTTGTTTAATATCGAACTCATGACCTCTGATCAGTCATCAGAATCAGTAGTCATTAGGGCAACAGGATAGTCGTATGTGAAATCTTCTTTAGAGGCGTTGAGCATTTTTGAACAACAACCAAAATAATGTATTGAACCATTGAACTCACGATATTGTTACCGTTACGGACATCTCTGTTGACGTAAAAACGTTTTTAGGTGCGTTGGGCATTTTTTGAGATGGGAGAAAACAATTGAACTCGCAACACTGTTACCGTTACCGACACCTCTGTATATAAGTATAAAAGTTTTCACTTCTGTCGGCACTCATAGTTCACTCACTGAGTAAAAAGAATTGCGGTTTTCTGTGAATAACATTTAACTAATTTGAATCAATATAAGCACGATTTACTCTTACTAGCCACTGCTTCTCTGATGTATTGAAGCTGACAAAGTAGGCATGTGCCATGTTACCCACCAATATTTGACGGCGTTGGTAGCTTTTTCAGATTCAATCGGGTGATTTCGAAGGTTGCGAAGGCTTTTTTTATTAAAGAGGGGGCAGATGGGTCACGTGATGGAAAGCGACTACTGCCGCCTATTAACGCTTGCAACTTAGGAGTCACAAGCGCGTTGCCAGCCTTTGAGGAAGGAGTACGCTCTTTTCTTGAAGGTCTTGCTCTGACGACACTCACCGATAGGAATTCCACAATACGATGGTAATATTGTGTAAACGTGGAATTTAGCTGGGTATTTTTTTTTATGTTATAGGAGGCTAAACGAGCAGTCGGATCATCATCATCATCATCAATAGCCTTTACTAGTCCACTGTTGGACATAGGCCTCTCCTTAGAAATGAGGTTTTGGCGTACTATACCACTTAGGCCAGACGGGTTGGTATAGGGTTTCTGTCAAGTTTACCTTCTCTTTGCAGTGCTGTTGTCCTGCATAGTTTGCTCTCTTAGTCGGCTCTTACGACACCCATGGGATGAATAGGAGTGGTGATTTGGGCTACGGTGACGGCATTGACTCGGTGAAGGGCATTGAAAATTTGCTTAAAACTGGTTTCCTGTGAGGCCGTGGTATCACTGGTTCAGCCGGCCCGTTTGTGTTTTTCCCAGTTATTGGTTGCCCGTTTGGTCCAGTCGTCTAGAAATCTGATATGTAAAGTGAATGCCCGCTCGAATCGATCTACAAATTATTTTTTATGGACTGGATTTTGAGGAACCAGTATTCTAATACTGGTTCTAACCGGTCCTGTGCTGCTCGCATCCAACGTCTTCCCGTTACCTTCACCACAACCTGATGTCCTGGAGAACCTTAGGGGAGGCCTATGTCTAGCAACGTGGACACCTTTCGGCTGAAATGATGATAATGAATGTTAGAGCTACATCTATTAATTACTTAAAATACTATTTATATTAATAGTAGGGATTAGAGAAAATAAGTAAAACATTGAAGTAGCATCACATCCAAAATTACACTTGATAAACTTGAAATAAATATTCAATGACTGCCTCGATGGCGCAGTGGTAGCGTATGAAACTGCTGTGCTCAGATCTCGGGTTCGATTCCCGGTTCGGACCAAATGTTTGGTTCGGAGTTTGGGTGTTTTATATCTTTAATATGTATGTATTAACAAAAAAAAAGTATTCTATCAGTCAGGCTAGCTTTCATGGTATAAGCTCTGCTTAGTTTGAAACTCGATGGCGTTGTATGTCCGATGTCCGAAATATTATTATTATTGTTTCAAGATGTATTTACAATGTTTGTCGTTATATATTAACTCATTAATATAATTTAGTATTAATAATTCAATACCTACATTTTAATGAAAGAAAAATATTCACAATATAAATCCCTGCGTACACCCTCACAACTATTATATTTTACAAGTACATGTATTGTTGTTTGGCACGAATCTTCCACCACCCACCATTTGTTTTGGTCTTGGTGAGTACTTTAGTGCTACATGATAATATCCAGAATCAATAAAAACTGTTGTTTAAAAAATATATAATTAGTTTATTTGAGCTATGCCATTGCATTTCATATGCAATAGCATAGCTAGACTATGTGGAGTCGCTTAGACTGCATGGAGCAAAATTAGATCGTTTCAACAAAGTAGCAAAAGGCTCACTAAGAAGTTGCTTAGATTATAAAGAAACGAAATAATAAAAACGACGCACATAGTATCTGAATCTCGAACAAATTAGAATGAAAGCTATATACAACATTGAATTGTATACTGATAAGTCCTAAGCATTCGTAGTATCATCTCGATAACTACCAAATTAAACGCAAAAAAGTGGTTGAATGTTAGATCCTATAACAAGGTGGATAGTGAGAAAATGTTAACAAGATGTGACGTCATAGTTACAGCTGAGTGATCGCTTTGTTTGGGCCCGACCTTGGACCCTAGGGACGACGGAAAAACTGTAGGGGACCGTGAAAAATAAAGGAAATAGTTCGTTATAGTTTGTCAAAAAAAAGTATTGTTTCACATACTTTTGTCGTTTTCTTATATGTCTTTTAGTCATTTTGGGTCATACATGTAGTATAGTTGCCTAAGTATTATTATACTAAGCTTATGTTCTGGGTTATTATTTATGACAAAAAATGATATGGTTAAAAGAAAAATTCAAGCAAGTCATTTTAATATTTATCAATTGGTTTCATGACGGTTTGTGTATCTATGCCAGTTTGTTATTCCAGAATAACTGTTAAATGAAGGAACTGATTTAGATTTACAGGGCATCACTAGAATCATGAATAAAATTAATTTGTATGATGTTGTATTCACTCAAATGTTAAGCAATTCTGTGGTTGCATTACATCGAGTTAGTGTAGTTACAGCAGGCCCAA